GGTGCTCAGCACGCCCGCGCTGCTGGCCAGGGTCACCACCGTCTGCTTCAGGCTGTTCAGGAGGACGCTGCCCAGACCTAAACCAAGGAATTCCGGGTCAACCTGGTGACTAATGGCAGCATGCAACTGAAAGGAGAAAAACAATTTTCACTTAGAACCCCTAAAAATGAGTGAATTTCAAAGTCTTATTAAACACTGAATAAAACTCACTTTGAAGTATTATTTAAACAACCAACTTCTCAGTTTATGTATTTTTAAAAACTGGACTAAAAAACCTCTTACCCACAATAGCTGAAGTATTTTCTAGAGGAATTTTTTTAACCCCACTATAAACATGTATATGGAAAAGCTCAAGATGAGCAGAAGACCTAAATAACTAGCAACAGCAACCTCCACCCCACCCCAACAACCTGCACCAAACACAGAAATAATGGCCACAATGTAACCAAAAAAGCTGCCACAGGTACAGTCTCGGCTCATTGCAAGCTCCGCCTCCCGGGTTCACGCCATTGTCCTGCCTCAGCCTCCGGGGTAGCTGGGACTACAGGAACCCGCCACCACGCCCGGCTAATTTTTTGTATTTTTAGTAGAGATGGAGTTTCACCGTGTTAGCCAGGATGGTCTGGATCTCCTGACCTCGTGATCCACCCGCCTTGGCCTCCCAAAGTGCTGGGATTACAGGTGTGAGCCACCGCGCCCGGCCCAGATCACGTTTTTTAGCCTCACGTCCATTATTAGCGCATTACAATCTTACTTTAAAATACTTCACTGAACAGGCTAAAACCCATGCCCTTCAAAATACATAAGCCTTCTTACAAACTCCTAAGTCACTTATAAAAGGAGCAAGAAGAAGGGAAATTATGAATACCTGAAGTCGTAGAAGATTCAGCGTTGCCACGGCCACGCACTCTTTCTCCTGGGGCGGGGGCCAGTCCGCGGAGCCGTCCATCCCCTCACTCACCTGCCGCAGCAGGAGATCCAGCTGCTCAAAAGTCATTGAGCAAATGTCCACCACAAAAGGGACACGGAGGCCAATGGACCACTCAGAACACGATGACCAGGCAAAGCTCTAAGAGGAAACGCAACAATCTAAAATGAATCTCCAAAAGCAGCTGCTGGTCCGTTCCACAGGAGTCCCCAGCATGTGTGATGGAGCCGCCTTATATTATCACCTATCATCCCTCTAACCGCCCAGTCCAAAGGCATTCATGGGTGTCTAGGTCACACACTGTCAGCTTCTAATCTTCCCGCCCATTTCAATAGCCCCATCTCATTTGGCCATATCTAAAAAAGTAAAAGCATTTTTAACAATCTTTTCACTCTCAAAATGATTAATGCACATTAATGGACGGCAGTGAGGATCTCCATCCACTTGAAGTGGTATAACAGCAACTCTAACTAGACAATCAATTGTTAGATGCGTATAACTCACACACTACCTTTCACAGTGAGAGAACAAGCAATCGGCAAGGATCTAGGAGAACTGTAGAACACCATCAATAAACTGGATCTAATTTATACAACACTTCAGCCAACAACAGCGAAATACAGCAAAATACATACACTCTTTTTTTTTTTGAGACGGAGTCTCGCTTTGTCACCCAAGTTGGAGCCTCAGCCTCCCAAGTAGCTGGGACTACAGGTGCCCGCCACCAAGCCAGGCTAATTTTTTTTTTATTTTTAGTAGAGATAGGGTTTCACCATGTTAGCCAGGATGGTCTCCATCATCTGAGCTCATGATCCACCTGCCTCAGCCTCCCAAAGTGCTAGGATTACAAACGTGAGCCACCGCGCCCAGCCATACATATACTTTTTAAGCACATACAGAATGTTCGCGAAGAGAGAACATATCCTGAGACATAAAACAAATCTTAACAAATTTAAAAGAAATGAAATCATATACAGTTTGCTCTCCATTCACAATGGTATTAAACTAGAAATCACGAACAGAACAATCTACACACACTTAAAAACTGAACAACATACTTAATAATCCATGGGTCAGTCCGGGCACAGTGGCTCACGCCTGTAATACCAATACTTTGGGAGGCCAAGGTGCGGGGATCACCTGAGGCAAGGGGTTCAAGACCAGCCTGGCCAACATGGAGAAACCCCATCTCTACTGAAAATACAAAAAAATTAGCCAGGCATGGTGGCGGGCACCTGTAGTCACAGCTAATCAGGAGGCTGAGGCAGAAGAATCGCTTGAATCCGGGAGACAGAGGTTGCAGAGAGCCGAAATCAGGCCACTGCACTCCAGCGTGAGCAACAAGAGCGAAACTCCAGCTCAGAAAAAATAAATAGTAATAATAATCCATGGATCAAAAAATAATTCTCAAGAGAAATTAGAAAATATTTTGAACATAAATTGAAACACACCAAAATTTGTGGGTTTGATTAAAGCACTGTTTAGAGGAAAATTTACAGCATCAAATCATTATATATTACAAAAAAAGGTAAGTCTAAATCAGCAATCTACGTTTCCAACTTAAGAAACTAGAAAAAGACCAAAGTGAACACAAAACAAGCCAAAGGGACAAATGACAAGATAAAAGCAGAAATCAATGAGATTGAAAGCAAAAAAAACAAGGGAACAATTAATAAAACTAAAAGATTGTTCTATGAAAAGATCAACAAAATTGAAAAATGCTAGAAAAACTGACAAAGAAAAAAACGGAAAAGATACAAATTATCAGTATCAGGAATGAATGAAGGGACATCACCGCAGGCGCCACAGGCTTCAGATGTTTAGCAGGAGAATACTAAGGAAAATCTGACACGTACAAATCAGACAACACAGATGAAGTAAAGCAATGTCTGAGTGCCACAAACCAGGAAAATCCTCCTGGAAACAAACAGGTCACCTGAATAGTTCTATATCGATTAAAGAAATTGAAGTTGAAAAATCTTTTCTTTGTTTGTTTGCCTTGTTTTTTTTTTTTTTTTTGAGACGGAGTTTCGCTCTTATTGCCCAGGCTGGAGTGCAGTGGTGCGATCCCGACTCACTGCAATCTCCGCCTCCCGGGTTCAAGCGATTCTCCTGCCCCAGCCTCTTGAGTAGCTGGGACTACAGGCGCATGCCATCAAGCTCAACTAATTTTTTGTATTTTCAGTAGAAACGGGGTTTCACCATGTTAGCCAGGCTGGTCTCAAACTCCTGACCTCTGGTGATCCGCCCGCCTCGGCTTCCCAACGTGCTGGGATTACAGGCGTGAGCCACCGCGCCCGGCGTAAAATCTTTTAGAAAGAAATCTCCAGGCTCAGATGGATTCAAAAACATGTAAAGAAGAAATAACACTAATTCTACACAATCCCTATAGGAAATGGAAAAGGAGGGAACACATGCCAATACTTTGTATGAGGTCAGCTTTCCCCACTGAAAGTCAGACAAGATAGTATAATACAAAGAAAAAAACCACAAACCAACATCCCTGATAAGCATCGACAGAAAAATCCTCAACAACATGTTAGCAAGTCAAATTTAACAATATAGAAACAGAATGGGGCCGGGCGCGGTGGCTCACGCCCGTAATCCCAAAACTTTGGAGTGGCAAGGAGGGTGGATCATGTGAGGTCAGGAGTTGGAGACCAGGTTGGCCAACATGGTGAAACCCCATCTCTAAAAAACAAAAAAATACAAAAATTTTGTATTTTGTAATCCCAGCTACTCAGGAGGCTGAGGCAGGAGAATTGCTTGAACCCAGGAGGCACAGGGTGCAGAGAGCTGAGATTGCACCAATGCACTACAGTCTGGGTGATAGAGCGAGACTCCGTCTCAGGGAAAAAAAAAAAAAAGAAATAGAGTAGTAAATTGTGGCCAAGTGATGTTTACGCCAGTAACACAAGGCTTGGTCAGTATTTAAAAATCAGGCCAGTGCAGTGTCTCTCGTCTGTAATTCCAGCACTTTGGGAGGCCAAGGCAGGTAGACCATTTGAGCTCAGGAGTTCAAGACCAGCCTGGGCAACATAGTGAAACTCCATCTCTAAGAAAGGAAAAAAAAAATGTTTAAGAAAAAAAAAGTAAAAATCATCTATGTAATACACCATACTAACACACTAAAGAAGGAAAACTGCATGACCATTTCATTTGAGAAGATTAAAAGCATTTAACAAATTGTAACATCCATTCAGGATTTTTTAAAAGCTTCTAAAAGGGGGAATTAAAGAAACTGCCTTAATCTGGGAATAAGGCATCTACATAAACACCCGCAGCCAACATCACAGCCGATGGTGAAAGACTGAACTGCCCTCCCCTACAGTCCGGAGCAAGGCGGGGCGCCCACTGTCACCTCTCCTACTCAGCTTCACACTGCAAGTCCTGGCCAGGGCAATCAGGCTGGGAAAAGATATAAAAGGCAAGCAGATTGGAAAGGAAGAAATGGAACTGCCCCTCTATACAGACAGTATAATTGTTCATGAAGAAAACTCAAGGAAACTACAATGATGCTCATAACAAATGAGTTTAGCACAACTGCAGGACATGAGAGCAACAAACAAAACTCAGTGGTATTTTCTACATACTGGTAATGAACAACTGGAAACCAAAATCCTCCAAAACACCAAATCAAGCTCTATATTCCGTACCTGGGCAGGCCCACAGGCAATTCCCACTATGTGTTTGGTGTCCAGTCCCGGCAATGCTGCAGGTTCTGGCTTGGTCACGCGCAAGGTGTCAAAGTGCTGGCACTGGTCGTTGCTCCCCCAGCTGTGGACCTCGCTGTCCTCAGTCAGAGCCAGGCAGTGGGTGGAGCCGGCAGCCACATCAATCACCTTCTTCCCTACAAGGAAAGAGGGTTGCAGATGCAGCTTCAAGCCTGGGACTTCTGCTGCAACAAAGGTATTTTAGGTCATTCAGGCCAGAGAGCTTTTCATTAACTTTTTTAGGGTAACCTGTTGCTTTAATATTAAGCACAATTCATTTGCTTTGGGTGTGTTATTAAAACGCCTCTATTTTGTCAGCTACAATTTGTTAGGACCCACAGCCTACAAAGATCATAATGCTAGGATACGAAAAACGATCTGTTCTTTTTTCTCCTCCTCATTCAGATTCTCATTCAGAGAGAAACAATGTGCTTTTAATTAACTATTAGATCATATTCTCCCATCCCAGATGTAACAATGCACAGCACACTCTTCACTGAGGAAGGCTTCCTAAGAAAAACCTATTGTTCTCTCAGAGTCAGGTGATATCAATATTTAAAACATTGTTTCTATTTAAACACTTAGCAAAATATTCTATTTTTCCTTGCTGGTAAATCTAACAGGGTCAACACAAAGGGTGTTGCTCAGAAAGGTCAACATATAAAACAATTCAGCTGAAAAACCGTAAGGGGAACAATTCTATCCTGGGAACTTACCATAAGTTAACATTAGCAAGAAAAAAAAGTGTTTTTCAACAGTAATGTAAATACTCTGAAAGTAAAAGATTTCTATAATGACCATCGTAGCTTTCCTACACTAATGGAGGGGAATATAAACAAGAAGGCACATGAAATTCAAACACCATTCAACGACACAGAGGAAACTTACTACTCTGCCACTTATCTCAGAAGCTCACAACATAATACATACCGTATGGGCACACAAAACTCTCAGTCATCGAGATATTAACATGCGTTAAAATAAAACCAATGGAGAAAGGAACTGGCAAGTCTCACTTAGAAGTTCCACTTCCAAACCCACTTGGTAAAGAAGCAAACACACAAAGAATGTGTGTAGTACCAGGACCCAACGAACTACAGCCCCCACACACAGCGCAGCCCAAGGCCTGCTTCTGTGAAGACGCTGGTGTTGGAACACAGCCAGGTCCACCTGCTTCAAAAACAATCTGGCCCTTTAAGAAAAAGGCCGCCCACCCCTGAGAGAGAGAACCCTAAAGAGTCCATCTGATGTACCTCTCGCTGCCTTTTCCCTTCTTCCCTACTTTCTTGTCAGCTTGCCTGCCCTTCACCAGTTCTCCACTAGGATGAAGACTATCTCCCAACCACTAGGCCAAGTGGTACAGAAAAGTCCAGTTTTACCTTAGAAAAATCCCTCCACCATCACAGTTTGGATGGCCCCCACCCCAACTTCCAGCAGCGTAACATCCCTAGTAAGAACACCACAAAAGAATTTCAGGGTCTTCTTGCGGAGGCCCCCATCCTCTCTGCCTGCACCCGCAGCCCACACTGAAGGCGCCAGCACTCATAACTACACACCTCGGCTTCCATCTGTTCCCTCCAACCACAATGCACGCTGGACACCTTTGCAACTGAGCAAGCCGGAATCCCCCACCAAGGACGAGTTCACATCAGAGCGTCCCAGGTGGGCCCAATCCCACCTGCCAATGTGGCCCCACAGCACAACGCACCCTCACGGTCTCAGTGTGTCCGCAGTACAAGTACAGGTAACCTCACCACATAGAGGGAACCCTTCCAGAGTCCAGCCTGCTGAGTGATGCATGGGTGCCTGCCACAGAAAGTAGCGATGTTTGTAAAACTCAATGGGTTTACGCTGCATTTGGGAAGAGTAATTCAACTCATTTTGTAATAGAGACACACCCACTTTCCAATTGGTATCAACACCTATACCAAGCTGGCAGTCAAAGTTTCTAATGACAGTCCATTCACGGAAAGTCAGGTTAAGAACATAAAACCTGCAAACTTTAAAAGATTACTAAAGAAATTGCCCTGAAGGGTTTTAACAGTTTACATTTGCACTCACCTTGCAAGCCTTCTAAGAGTTTTGGATAACGAACATGTTCCTCTGTTCCGTGTCCAAGTCTCTGGTTGTCACCTTTTCCCCATGAATAAACTTGGCCATCTTTCGTCAAAGCAATGGAAAACTGACTTCCACAGCGGACTTTGACCACATCCAAGTCTTGAAGCTTTTCAATCAGCTTTGGGGTTTTGCAGCCATCACTACCACCTCTGCCCAATTTCCCATAATCACCATCTCCCCAAGACCACACTTGCCCTAAAAAATACAAATGCATTTAAATAACAACAACTCTGCATTTTAGTGAAAAACTTTAAATGACTGAAAATAATATAATGAAAAACGCACACTAATCTAGACCACCCATGTATATAGTTAACACTAAAAGGGTGGCCACTGAGCAAATGAAACCTAGTTGACACTTGAGGTTGGTATAGAAGCAATAAAGAAAGGGAAAGCTGAGTCTCCTTTTGTTTTCATTCCATGAAAAACCAAGTCCTGACTCTTACTAGCCTGGGCTTAATGTTAACTGCTTCACAGAATCAAAGGCCCACTGCCTCCATAACCACAGTAACTGGGGCCCGGCACACTGCAGATGCTTGCAGACTGCCCTCCCGTTTGCCTGCCTGTTTCTGTTGCCACCATAATGACCGCTCGTCAGCCGTACCAGTGTATGTGTTCTCAACTGCATATATCAGCATAAGTACGTAAGTTGACTAAATATTACATAAAGGGATAAAATGCAATTGCAAAAGTAAATATTTTTATTTTTACTGTGAACACTAAGCTGAAAACTATGCAAAAACTTAATGAAAGTGAATTGCTAAAAAACAAAATTGTTAGGCTGGGCACGGTGGCTCACGCCTGTAATCCCAGCACTTTAGGAGGCCGGGACCGGCAGATCACTTGAGCCCAGGAGTTCGAGATGAGCCTGGGCCACATGGCGAAACCCTGTCTGTACTAAAAATACAGAAATTAGCCAGGTGTGGTGGTGAACATCCATAATCCAGCTGAGGCATGAGAACTGCTTGACCCCGGGAGATGGACGTTGCAGTGAGCCAAGACTGCACCACTGCACCACTGCACTCCAGCCTGGGTGACAGAGCGAAACTGTCTTACAACAACAACAAAAAAGTGAAATTACATAAAGGTGAAAACTGTAAAAGATCAGGAAAAAGAAACCAGAGAAGATATCAGATTGCTCCACAAGTTCCCACATTCTATTTTGTAACAACTAAAGAGAGGCAAATATTTTCCTCAACGATCAGACGGTAAATATTTTTAGCCTCTGTGGGCTTTCTGTCCCAACGACCCAGCTGTGCCACTGTCACAGGAAAGCAGCCACAGACAATATGTGAATGAGTGGGCAGGCCTGCACACCAATACAACTCCACCTGCAAAAGCAGGCCAACCCCGAGCGAACCGGAAACTGGAGATGACACACTATGACGTGGTCAATGAAAGCAGCACAGCAGACCTGCACACAGAGATCGGAGGTGCACTTTCACACGCTGTGCTGAAGATTATGCTGTTCACGTAGCCCGCCTGGCTATTTCCCGCTGTCCCCCAAGGCCAGACTGCAGGGTAGGATACTTCTACCGTAACAGTCGCCTCAGAAAATAACAGCACAGCAGGGACACCTCCCTACAAGATCTGCACCAAAGAAACACTAGTGTGAGGAAGATGCTGTCCGCAGCCTGTTCAAGGCAGTTTACTCAACATATCACAAACCTCAACTAAAGTAGCAACTACACTAAAGAATGCAAGGCTAGTCTCCTGACACAGCTCAGACCTCACAAAACTTTTAACCAGTTAAGGTCTGTCACTCACTCAATAATAGATATTTTAAAATGACGAGATGTCAAATTGAAAGCTCCTTGGCAGCAGGAGCCTTTCAGAGGAGACCACCTTTGCTCTAGGACTCACAGTAGCAGAAACAGGATGGCTCTGACAATGTCTGTCCCGGCAATGGCAGCGGGACCTATACATATAGGGAAGTATCTGAAATGATTTTTCATCCTTCACCGAAGAAATGTCCAAAAGTCACTCAATTATCTACTGCCATTCAACTTCTGCAGGAGAGAAAGCAAGCTGACAGGTCCCAGCCGATTTCACAGAAAGACTCCACAACGCCAGAGACACACAGGATGCCAAGGACAGACCCCCACAATACTGACAGACGAGTCGTTTCTAAAGAATTAACGTCACTTTAACCATCAAACCTCATCATGTACCCTTGAAAAAAGATGAGGATGATCTCAGTTAGGAACACAAACACAGAAGCAAAATTCAAAGCAAGCAGATACCGCAGCGTCAGACTACAGAACACGGAAAGACTTAGCAGGAATTACCACACGGAATCAAGAGTGGCCAAATGTTAAGAAATGTAATACCAGAGACAATTCAGTGTCAACCACTCCATTCCAGCTCTCATTCTTAAAAAATAAAATGCCCACACAGGAATGGCGGCAGCTGCTAACCAGCTGACAGGCCCCAGGCAAACAAGCCCAGTAATCACCGGGGTCTCTTCACCAATGCCACTGATCCCACACCCAATGGACGACAGGGTGGGCGGCCTCGTGAGGCCCACTGTACTCATCTCACTTCCTACAGGGAAGCTGCCATGCGTGTCCTCGAGGCCCTGTCCTGGGTGGCAAGAGCTCTACATACCGTTCTCAGTGACAGCCAGGGTTTGAGCGTCCCCACTCCCACACGCCACATCGATGACCTTCAGTCCTTTAAGCCCAGCTACCAGCATCGGAATAGCCTCGTCCTCACTGGAGCCTTCAAAGAGATAGGACGGCCATTACTAAGTCCTGTAAGAGGCCACCTCCTGCTGCATGCTCCCATTCATGCAGGGCAGACGTACCGTGGCCCAGCCGGCCGTAGTTCCCGCGGCCCCAAGTGTACAGCTCCCCCTCGGCTGTGATGGCTGCGCTGTAAGTGCTCCCGCAAGCGATGTGCACCACGTGCTTCCCGGCCTGCTTTCCAGAGAAGGCGGAGATCACCTTAGGCTCCTCCAGAGGCCTTGGGGAGGAAGGGAACAATCATGAATGCCCTTCTTCTTGGTGTTATTTCTTATTAGTGTCAGCAAAGGAAATTCACTACCCAAATTTAGACCATCACAGCATCAGGCCAGTTTCACCTTCCAGGTACCTTATAAAATAAGGAAGAGAGAATTCCAAAACCTAACACCTCCATGACTTTTTGTTAAGTTGGAACCCGATGCCAAGCATGGTATCCAGTAGAAATATAAAAACAGTGTTTGTTAAAGACTTGTACCATAGGCCGGGGGTGGTGGCCCACCCCTATAATCCCAGCACTTTAGGAGGCCAAGGCAGGCAGATCACCTGAGGTCAGGAGTTCGAGACCAGCCTGGCTAACATGGTGAAACCCTGTCTATACTAAAAATACAAAATTAGCTGGGCATGGTGCAGGTGACTGTAATCCCAGTTACTTGGGAGGCTGAGGCAGGAGAATCGCTTGAACCCAGGAGGCAGAGGTTGCAGTGAGCTGAGATCGCCCTATTGCACTCCACCTTGGGCAACAAGAACAAAACTCCATCTCAAAAAAAAAAGAGACTTGTAAAGTCCACTGCAGCTTAATTCACAATGGCTCAAAACCATGGTTCAGGCCGGGCGCGGTGGCTCAAGCCTGTAATCCCAGCACTTTGGGAGGCCGAGACGGGCGGATCACGAGGTCAGGAGATCGAGAC